AAAACACCAACGATGACTGAGTGACACCAGGTGATGAACTTAGCGGTGGATCAGAAGCTGTTCTTATTCGTCTTTCAGATAATTGTCCAACTGCAAGATTACCACCACTGCTGTCTTTCACTACTAGTTCGGGTTTAGCACTATCATCTGATGATAGGTGGGCTACACGCTGATCAATTACACTGACTGTCTCACAAGTATGCACACCTTCTGGAACTGCACCTGCATTTATTTCTACTTCACGTTGTAGTTGTACAGAACCTTTAATTAACTTAGCAGTAGTAGGCATATCCCTCATCTCATAATGATCAACCAAAGACAACTGTGAAGTATCATGATCATTATCACGAATATTCACTTTACCGTCAACTTCATCATTTTCAAACTCTTTAATAACAGAAGTAGACAATTTTGGTTCCTCCTCACAAATCATTAAAGGTTTTATAACTTCACTCTGACTAGTAATACCTTGTAAACTTGTGGAGTCAGAACTCCACTCTGAAGCAGTAACTCTATTCTGTGACACTCTATTCAACAACGGCTTACCAGCTGCAACTACAGACTTCTTCACAACACCGTTATCGTTACACAATTCGGAGTCAGACCTGGAGTTTACATTTAGCTTATCACTGAACTTGCTCACTGGTTCACAGTTCACTTCTGTATGCACCTCTTTCAAACGTGTAAAACAAAACCGTGTTTGTCTTGCATCTTGTAACTTATCTGTTGAGGATGTAATACGAAACCTGTTACACTCAGTAGGTCTATACGCATTACTATACATCATGGAGTCTTCTCGATATCCACCTTTCTGAGGCCTACTCGTCATCAATGATTGCATTTTGATCTCAGACTGCTCTATTCTAGGGGTGAGATCTAATAGACTGGCGAACTTGCTCGTAGATTCATTGACACTAGTATTTACCAGTTTCAGGATATCATCAAACTTTGGCTCGATACCCTCAACCTCCATACGGGAGCTTATCTTCACCCACTTCCTTTGCAGTCGAATGGGTATGCGTCTTGCTATTACTTCTAGGATAAAACTCGAGTTGAGGTCACTCATGCAATTCATCGAAATCAAGGTATTCTTATAAGTCATAAGATTATCTATAAACTCAGTGAGTGCCTTGGAGTCATCTTGAAGTTGACTGCCATTACCTTTGACAGCTTCGTAGACGTTCCTTACAATCATCGAAGTTCTTCCAAACCTTTGACGTAATATGCTCATAGCCTCAGCGTATCCCTCATTAGGGGGCATTAGCTTACAGCACTGTATAGCTCTTGAAGCATCTCCAGTGCAATACCTCATCAAATACATCAATTTCAATTCATCACTTAATAAAAAAACACTCAACATTATCTCAAACTCCTTAACAAACTGTAAATAATCGGCCGGGTTTCCATCAAAACACCGTGGTTCAAACTTAGGGAGTTTGATGTTCCTATTATCCCTGAACGGCGAAACAGTAACATCAACCATGTCATGCTTAACATCAGACACATCGTTACAATTAACAGACAAGTCAACATGACTTACTTTCCTGTTTGTATCCAAGACACTCTGTCCCTTCTTTGACCCAGGCATTGTTGAACTTGACCCAATTCCAAAAACGTTCCAGATATTGCTTGTTCAAAGAGGACTTGACCGGCACCAGGAAAAATGAACGGCGACTATCCAAACTTTCACCAACTGTTTGAATCCGCCAGATCTGTTTCCATCGTCAGAAACTGTCAATCACGTCTCATAAACCGTTAATGCCCAGCTCTCGCTACGCTCGGTCCCACGCTGTTCTTAGAAGATTTCTCAGAAACGCTTAGTAATAACGGACGAAAAAACCAAAACACCGATCTGCCGCTTGATATTTCTTTATTGTTACACCAACATATAAAAAGAATAAGTGAACTAAGGTCTGAAAACAAATATTACAATAATAAATCTCTGTATTACTTCTGACGATGTTTCACTCTTCTTTCTGAACAGCGACCGATGAGACGATGACTGTCGTATTGATGCCTCCGCGAAAATTGGGGAAGTTGATTTTGAGCAAACAACCAAGAATTGATTGTTCACTCTTCAACTCCATTTACACCCTAGAATTAGAAAGACTATGGCTAAGACGCCTGAGACTAAACTTAACACTTTACTATAGGCTTCTAAACCACTTAGTTTTTACCTCTACTAATATCATTCGACTTTCAGATGACAGTGGCTACAAACTAAGACACACTAAGGGTACATTAGCTATCGAACAATGTAAAACAGCTACCAGGCAAAAGTTTTATTTGATTAGGTATGCACAGATATGGAATAAACTACCAATGGAAATGCCTCAAGCAGGTACATTGGCTTCATTCAAAAAAGTGCTTAACGACAAACCACAATCGTTTGCAAACGACAGTAGTCCTAGTTCCTATCTGAGAGCCTCCGAAATTATAGGTCCATTTAATGTATAAGCTCAAATACTACACCTGTTGTTTTTGCCTATATTTACAATTTTAGATAAAACATTAACGATTAAGATACTTACCCTCAAAGAGACAAGAAGTTTCGTTTGTGAAACTTCTACCCTACACAATAAGTGGAATAAAATGGACGTAAACCGACAACATGAAAAAGATATAACTCACCACAACATCACATGGACAGATGTACGCTCGTCGGGCATCATATATGCCTCACCAACTACAACCCAACATTCCTGAGATAATGTGATGAGCTTATATCCGTAATGTTGCTGAGCAGTCAATATCCACAACTCCTGTCGGAACAACTAAAATTCAAAAACCTTCCTCACGCGAAGAAAATACCCACAAGCAGTTGAAAATCCATTAATTAATGCGTCCAAAGCTTATGTATTTTGCTCCCAACAATGACATTGCAGATCAAATGAGATATAAACAAATCACTGATTTCAAAATAACACATCAATGAACTATAAATCAAGGATTCTGCACACAACAAATTTATGTATGAAAACTGACTTCAAGCTTTATTTTTTTTCCCAGGCACTTATAACCCATTTACCAAAGACCTGGTTTTTTTGTTAATGCGAAGACAATACTTCTGTATTTCCTGATGTGTTGCACTCACTGACAATCTAGCGGATTTTTCCAACTATGAACAGAAACGATTGTACATAAGTGAAAAGGATGTTTTATACTATTGGGATTAACATATATCAAGTGTGTGTATAATCTCCAGTGTACATGTTAAACATATTTTGCTATCGACTGTAAATTGTGACTGAATAATATGGTCCTATTTCTGTAACAATTTGATGATGCCTGTAAACTGGCGTCCCTCATGTACTGTATCATGAGAATAAGTTTATTTATTCACACCACCCATAATGTCAATGTTCAGGACTTACTATGCTAGACCTAGATGTCCCTCGAAGATATTCGGACACAATGTATGAAAACCAATGCGAAAAACCAGAACACAGATTGGCGACTCGAGAATCATATATTCTTACGCCAATATATAACAAAAATAAGGCTATTATACACAAGGTCTAAGGATAAATGTTATAACAACAAACCACAATAATACTCCTCATAGTTTTTCTCTCTTCTAACGAACAGCGAACGATGAGGCGATGACTGCAGTATTGATGATTCCCGCGAAAAATATGGAGTTGGCTTTGAGCAAACAACCATGAATTTATCGTTCAATCTTCAACTACATTGACACTCCCCGGTCATAAAAGGATCCATCCCTTTTTTCCGTCACGACCAATACACGTTGACTTGGATGCCATTGCGAGAACCTAGGTCACACGGACAAAGCTGAAATGAGAAGCTAACACCAAAGTTAACACACCACGGGCATACCCACAGCACAATCTCACACATCGACGACGACCCAAGGCTTCCGGTTAAAGGCATCCTCTTGACATCTTGCAACACAATCGCCAATTGCTAGAATGACTCTTGCAGAATGCAACGTGACCATAGCACCACCTCATGATACTCTTCCCACATCTTCTTTTCTATTCACTATCAACTACCACTGCGATCGCTTGTCACTCATACTGCCTCAGTTCTAGTAACGGTGACATATGCAAGCCTCAGTCGTTTACACTCTCGCTCCCCAGCGTGTGGGACCATAGCTAATCATTATCTCCGTGTGCATATCATTCTCAGAACTAGCCTCCCCGGCGTATACGACCCATCTGCCGTCTCTAACACCAATCAATTCATTCACGGATGTAGAAGACTAGAAACAACTTCAGAAGTAAGCACGACGAACAATTTATATATAACATTTTTAACCGATGATGGTGATTTTGTGGATCAAATAATAGTAATAATGTGGTAAATGTCTTGAACGTAATTAATAATGATGATTATAATGATAATAAAATATTGATAATAAGGTTTATGCAGGTGATATGAACAACAAAGGTAATATATGTATATATGTAGACAATTCAATAAATAAATAAATTAGGTCAAATCTCGCAAAGTGACCCTAAAAGAATTGGTCACCAGACCCTACCACCAACTTCAGAACTAACGTTTTCTCCATAAAATCTTTCATTTATAGATTTCAATGTCTATCAACATGTAATCAGGTCTATCTGTTGTTTGCTTCAGGTGAAGGCTATTTTAATATTCAAAGTGTTAGGTCTGGGGGCATCATTAGGGAGAACAGGCTAGTTGTGGAGGCTCTGATGGAACTGTGAACATTGCTATGATTTTATATGCCTAGATGTGGCACTCACACTCTGTCTATTTCTCTCTGTTTAAGTCCCGTTCTTTTATCATTTTGTTGTATTCATATACTTCCATCATTTCACCTGCCATTCAACAATATAATTCCCCTACCCTCCACTGCTTTCGCCTGCCCACTCCAGCTATCCCTCTTCTAACTGTCTGGCAAACCCTATTCTACAGCATCTACTGACTCATTTGGAAAACTGTTCTGCGAAACGAATTCGCAAGTCCGTAGTACAAACCACACTTTTACTTTCTGTTGCCTTCACCTAGGGTGTCTGAGGATGTGGATTTTACTGGAATCAGTTACACGAAGTTGAAGGGCAAAACTTTCTTAGGTTTGATGTAAGCATTCTTTTTTCCAGAGACAAGCCTTGGGGGTTTGAAGGTCCCTGCATTTGTCCTTGAGCTAAGGCGGAACTTCGACCGTCACTCGTGAGTCCGGGAAATATTGGTAACAAGGGCTGCTGCTGTGATTATCACTCGAAGAATTCAACCACTCAGTTATCTCACTGATTGGACGAAAAACAGCTGGGATCTGCTTGGTGTAGTAATGAAGTCATGGTGAGCTAAAAAATGACAACTAATTCAATTTTCTAAGTCATCATCAGTATTATTAGGACTCGGACTCATTGGTATCGGAGTTGCTGGGCGCTACATAACTCGGCGTATAAACGTTGGTAGCATCACAGAACTTGTTAAATTGTCGGGAATAGTAAGTCATCAGTCACAATCTTGAAAAATTTCAATCGCTTAATCAAAAAGTCTTTCCATCGCCTGACTTTGTAACCACTGAGGTTTCTTTTTACGTTTTCGTGGGATTTATGGAGCTGAAAACTCATTCTTATACAATCTTAACTTATTCACATCTTAACTCGTTGGTATACATTGCGTTTATTCTAATCAAGTGTTACATTCAGACGAAAGGAAAACCGAAGGTAGCATAAGTATCGATAAGTGATGGATTGATATTTGATTTTATTTCTATAGGTTGGCAATATTATGGTGACACCACTTCTACTTTAAGGTAACATAAAGCCTTTGAAACTGCTTGTCAACACAAAGCTGTACTAGTTCACAACTTTTCAAAGGGAAAAGTGTGGTTGGGTTTACTTCAGCTTTTTGTGACTTTCACCGGCTTTGTGATGTAAATTGCCCGAATTTGTATGCTAACAAAGGATATATGCAGCGAAAATTTCATGCCATAAAAAAACTTATGACTTTATCATTACTACTTGGGTTATTAGTTTACGTGGTTAGTGAAGTATTCTGCGTTTAAATCTAGTGAATGTATCCAGGTCTTTTCTACTGGCTAAAAAGAAAACGTGCATAGTCTTTACTCATACCTCTGCGAAATGCTGTAAAGCGACTAGCTTTTCAATAAAGTTCTATGTCACTTTTATTAGTAAGTCAGGTTGTTCGGATAAGCTTTAAGTCCATCAAGTTTTTTTGTGGTAGTCATAAATTTCTTGTACACTGAAACAGTGGTAATGGTCTTTACTGACTTGTTGCAATTGCTTGTGAAATTTGTTTCAGACTGTCTTTTATCATGAACTGACATTAGAAAACCTGGGAGTACTAGACAACTGTTTCTTCCCAGTTGGGAACTCTTCACGATAAAGTTATGAAACCAGTCAAATCCCTTCAAACCACCACTTGATTATTTTTTGTTTAGAGTGTGTTTACTATCCTTAATTGCAACCTTTTTCATTTCAGTATTTTGTTCTTGCTAAAACTGGACCGTCTAAATTTAAAGAGTGTCTGCATATCACTTAGTGATTTCCGTGTAATGTTCCAACTTTCTTTGGAAGTGAATCATTCTCATGTATTTCTAATCTATATTCTCGCCAGTTCCGTTTTTAAACGACTAATGTTAACCCTTACTTATCTCCTCTCTAATTCCACACTGGCAGGTCATGTCAACTGGAGGACTGAATTCAAATTAAAGCTAAGGTGGTATTACGTTGTATTGGATGAAACATTTCAAGTCAGTGGGCTCTAATTCTAAACGGTTTTCCCTCCTCCGCGACAGCCAATTACTAGGAACTACCAGCAACTACATAATAGTTGTTATTCATCACTTAATTGTAGTTACGTATGGTTGTTTAGCAGTGCACAGACTGGGAAATGGTATCAACTGATGATATGGATACTGTGTAAAACCGTACAAACGGCGTATGTTAGTTTTAACTTTGTTAGTAGTGAACTATTCAATTCAAAGAGATAATGCTGAAAATGAATCATTGTTTTGCAAGTCGATTCAGCCATATAATTTTTCAACATTTTATTACTATCCATTTGTAGTTTATTTCTTATCTCCTGTGCACCTTGTTTGTTTTGAATTCTGTTCATCAAGCCTTATGCTATCATGAAGTGCAGTTAGTTTGGATAGTTAGAAATCAGCAATTCGGTACTAGATTGTGAACGACACTTGTCGTATGAAGACTGGTGATATCATTAAATTGCATAGGCTGAATTAGGTGGAACGGGATTCTAACCCGGTGTCCCTTAGCTGAAAATCGAGTCCCTAAGCCAATAAGCCACATCTCCACGAAGTGTAGTTACTTGAACCTGTCTGTCTGTCTGTTTTCGACATAGAACTTTGCACAAATGTGCGGAAGTTCAAGTCGCCACATTCCGTGTAGCACGCGAAGCAAGAGAAGAAAGTGCAAGAAAAGCATAATAGAGACAGTGAGCAGAGGTGTGAGACAAAGGAAGAGTAATAACGAAGAACAAAACAGTTTCATTGGAGATCATAAGTCACAAGGAGTGGAAGCATCTGCGCCACTGAGAACGATTTTGAGCCATGTCACCAATTGTTTCCAACCATAGATTTTTACCGTCCCGAGGACCCCAGCCTGGAAGTCTACACCTTCCTACATGGCTTAGACCAACTGTTGTGGATTTCATTGACTGGTGCCAAGTTTTTGTTTGACCGCCGCTAGCTTTTTTTCAGCCTGACCCTATACCCGCTAACATTGCTCGTCGAGGGAGGCGATGACTTGGCATACGTAACACATGTCCTAACCATCTCAGTCTTTGTAATTTCACGACTTCGTCGATTGATTTCCCCAGTTTACCTAGAACTCGACGCCTAACTTCAATGTTGCTCACCTTATTATGCCACTTTACACGGGAAATAGAGCGCAGGCACCTATGATCAAAGACAGCTAGTCTTTTCATGTCTTCCACTCTCAGTGGCCAGGTCTCACAACCATAAAGGAGGACAGAGCGGACTGATGAGCAGTACAACCGCCCTTTTGTCGATAGTCGGATATCACGTATACGCCAGAGTCGGCGTAAACTGGCAAATGCGAAGCTAGCCTTCTGTATCCGTGCGGAGATTTCGTCAGAGATCAACCCGTTGTCACTGGCTGATGGTACTTCCCAAATAAGTGAAGCGGTCAGCGTGCTCTACCACTTCACTTCCTATTTTTAAACTAGGCGTCGATGTAGTCCAGTCCTGTAACATCATCTTGCATTTGGCGGGAGCGAATCGCATGCCAAACATTCGTAGATTGCGGCTCAAGGTATTTAGAAGACTCTGCATTTTGTCAGCGTCTTCGCCTAGAAGGATTATATCGTCTGCATATTCCAAGTCAACGAGATTATTCCCTGGTAACAAGTCAATCCCTGAGTCGCTGAAGTCACTTAGGGTTAAGTCCATTAACACATCTATGGTGAAGTTGAATAGAAAAGGGGATGATGGGCATCCTTGACGGACACCACTGATCGTCATCAGTTCAGATGACAGCTCGCCGTAAGCCCTCACCTGGCTGTATGAGTACGAGTAGAGTGCCTTAATCAGTGCAATATATTTTCTTGGAATTCCCTTTACAGCCAAGCATCTCCAGAGAACTTCTCTATCGACAGAGTCGAATGCTGCCTTTAGGTCAAGAAATATAATGACTGTTGGACGCCGGTAGGAATGCCTATGTTCTAGAATCTGTCGGAGGGTGAAGATATGATCAATACACCCTCTTCCTGGTCTAAAGCCTGCCTGGCTCTCTCGTGTTTGTGCTTCCCGAGCACCACTCAGTCTACGCATGATTATTGAGCCTAAGACTTGAACCTGTACTGAAAGTCGCCAACTGGTAATAAACTGGCACATAATTGCTTATAGTCATTAAAGCATAATTTCAAGAATAAGTGCAGTAACATGAACCCCTACTTATTTTTAAGTCTTGCTGTGATTAATTCGTGATTAAGTGTACCAGTGTACTACCATTTGGCCACTTTCACTTGAGTAGGGCATTCAGACGATTCGAAGCATCCAGCCTTTAAACGGTAACAGATAATGTATTTCAAGTAAAGTCATTTCACTTTTTTTACTACTACGGAATTAGTCTGTATCATCACCGCACATCATCATCTCATCCTGGCTTAGTATTTCAGCCAATACATTTATTGACTACTTGAACAGTTATTATAATATATTATTGTTTTCCTGCAATTCCCAGAGAAACATAGGGCTTCAGCCGCAGAGCTACATTGCGTTGGGTTCTCTGCCAACCTTTACACCTAGCTCCATGTCTGCCCATATGCCTTCCTCTCCTCTTCACATGACATCTTCCAAGTCACCCTTGTACGACCAACTCGCCGCTTCCCTTTCGGGTTCCACTCGAGCTATGGCCTAGCGTGTGATTTCACTTGATGGTTTCCTCAGAGTATGACCAATCCACCTCCATTTCTTCCTGCTTATTTGTTGCACAGTCGGTTCCTGGTTAGTTCGCTCACAGAGATCCCTGTTGCTGATCTCTGCTGGCTATCTAGTCTTGAGTATTTAGCGAAGACAACTGTTGATGAAAGTTTGAAGTTTGTTTGAGGTGCTCTTTATGACGTGCCTAGTCTCTGATCCGTATAGTGAGTAGCACTGACTGACTTCACATTGTAGTTGAAAATCCGGATCTTATTTTTGATACTGAGTGATGTTGACCTCCACACAGACTTGAGAGAAATGAAAGCTTGCCTTGCTTGCCCTATCCTCGCTTTAGTATCCTCATCAGTTCCGTCTGTAGTTAGAATGATGGTTCCCAGGTAGGTAAAGGAGGCTGCTGATTTCAGATTTCTCCCATTTATGCTGATTGTTGTCTGTTTTTGGTGGTGTTGCTGTTAGCCAGGAATCTCCATCATCACCTCGGTTTTCTCTTTGTTCACCTGAAGTTTTTGATGCTTCTTTTGCCAACTTGTTGCTTTTCACTTGCATATCTTCCAGTTTGTGGGAATTCAGACGTCATTGGCGAACTCCAGATGCTTCAAGTTTTTTGTATGGATCCATTATATATATAAGATATCCAGGCAGAAAAGTACTACCGGCCACTGATCCAAGTTGTTTGAGCTCATCTACCCACCGTATATAATGGAATAAAAGACAAAGACAACTATGAAACAATTAAAGCATTAATCAAGTATGGCTGTATTCTCGTAAACTTTGTGTTTAAAACCATTTTACTCATCATATCCTGTCACCTTTCGTATCAGGAGCTTAAAGCCGACACCATTAACCGAGCATTTAGCTTCTGAATGTTGTAGTAAATTGTTACATAAGAGATGTGTCTTAACGTTTGACTTGATACATTCTGTGTAGTTGCAAGTTAGCGAACAAATGGTTTCACATAGAAATGCTTATAAAATACACGGAAGATTAATGTCCAGTGTTACTTACACCGTGGTTTTTTCATACACAAATTAAGATTATGATTTGCGAATACTCGTATGGTCAAATATTTAATCCGTACAGGAATCAGCGGATCAAGCTTATTTCATTATTAATACAAGTATATGTGATAACTGAATGCATTATCATAATCTTACTATTATTGCTGCCTATGTGGCATTGGCTAACTTTATTTACATCAATACTGTGCATCACTGTATGTTTGAAGAATTATATAAATTAATTTCGCTGCTGGCTGGTGGAACTGATAAACAGAATTTTAACTTCAGTCTTAGTACCTTTTGAGTGTTTCTAGGTACAAGTTCTATTCCCTGCTGAGTGTGGAGGTTATTCGTTGGTTTATTTTGTAAAAACGTATCAAAACCGAAATGTCATCCTCCTATAATTTAACCTCTGTGATATGTTATCACAATGTCGATAGACGTTAACGTTTAGATTCATTAGTGTGGACTTTTGTTTATCATTCTTAGAGTTGTTAAATCATCAATTTCAATCCATTTTGCACACAGAATGAAAAGTATTATCGTGGAGGCTTCGAACCCAATATGTCGAAGCGTGAAGCTGCATTGATCCTTGGTGTGAGGTAGGTTCACTCTCTTGCTTTGTTTCTATCTTATTATAGTTCAAATTAAGATAGTTATGGGTAATCCATATTATTTTCATAGTCTGTGAAAATGTATCAAAAATCTTGACTGCGTATGTGACATGTGCAAGTTTTTTTATCCGTGGATACCACTACGTTATTTCGATTATTTCCAAATGAATCACTAGTTACTAGTATAACACTGCTTATAGTTTCCACTACAATATAGAGTGGTTTGTACTGCACCATGCGATAAATTTTGAACACCAATCAATCAATGAAGAAGCACAATAAATTGATCATAAGTTTCCGCCTCAAGCTTCTTGTACACTGCTTTTGTAGAAAACAATTAAAGCATAGTTTTGCTCGTTAAGAGAATTTCTCAGTTTATCTTTTGTTAGCGTCCGATAATTTAGGCGATTTTCCATATTTCTACCCCATATATTGTAGGTATATCACTACTTCGTGATTTCTTGTTGTCAGTGAACTTATATATGTTCTTCAATTAGCTTTTTTTCATCGGTAGTGTTCTTCAGCTACTTTCGGAAGGGTTGTGTTAAAAGTTGCTTATAGGCTGAATTCTGATCGATTGAGAATGTGAACGGTATTGTCTAACTGTGTGCTTCACAGCAGTTAGTGCATGCATACTGCAATCACATTTAGTGATTAGTGCCCGAAAATGTTACTTTTTGTCCGAATGGTATTCTGATAATTCCGTCATATTTGCTTTTATATCTTTACCATGGTTTACTGTTTATTCAACACACCACTTTTCAGTACTCGTATTATGCCAAGTTTATGCTCTCATAAGTAATGTTACTGGAAATTATAGCATAAAGGTAGACAGGAAAGTGATAAGTTTTAGAGATAAGTAGTGATTTCCCCTTTAAGAACTATCTGGACTTTTTAGCATTCCTAACACTTGCATAAGTCGTACTAGTTTTGTGACATGAATTAACAATTTTCCAGAATTAAACTGCTAATAGCAAATAGTGTAGTAATAATTTCGTTTAATATCATTCTTATTATTTTTCTTTCAGTCAACAGTCCAGTAAAAATAAGGTTAAAGATGCTCATAAAAGAATCATGCTTCTCAATCATCCTGATAGAGGTTAGTTGGATAGTTAACAACAATTAACTGATTACTCGATACACAGTTTTATCTTCTACATAAGTGTGCAATTTGCAGATTATATCAGTCATCATGTTTAGTTGGTCTCTTGTCTTCCTAAATGATTAGCGGCTAAAGTTGTTTAAAGGGATGGTATTTCGTGGATATTTGACTGGTTGGTTTTGGGACTTGACTTTTGAGTCACGGGTTGGAAGCACGCTTCATTTACTTTGGTTTAGGCAGCTATATACTAGCCGTCACCCTCATAAGTTGTTTGTGAACTCAACTCAGCTACCCGGAACAGATTCCTCATGTGCCGGACAGTGAGAATTAATGGTCCTATACAGTTGTCTAGGCTAAAGTAAGTGGAGCGGCGGGATTCGAACCTGCGACCTGATGGCCACACACACAATCAGTGAGGCTCATTGTTAATGCATGCACACACCCACATAGGGCTCTTTCATCATTACCCCTGCATGTCTATAGAAAGAATCAGAATTCGAAAACCCAGACGCCTTTGTTAAATTTTGACTAAGCAGCCAAAGCCTAATTCGCGGCATAGAGTAATCTCTTTTTCACTTCATGCATTATCATCAATAGCAGACTGACTACCTTAATTCACAATAAGCTTACAGAATTTACATGCTCAGTCTCAGCACATATTCTGTTGCTTCTAAGCTCGCTTCACTCAAGTTTACCGTTTATAGACCAGTGCACTAAACATTTCTGGCTGTTAACTGAGTTGTCTTATTATTATCATTATTGTCTTACCATATACTATGTAGTCATCGAAAAATAAGCCTGGCAAAATAATGCATTACTTTAAGTCGCAATGATTATATGTAAAATAGAATCTGGATGACTACACAGGTAAAGACGGGAAATATACAACAGATGGTAGAGAAAATAAGGTTTTGACGGAATATTTCTGTGCATTTAGGCGCGATTCCAAGATATATCATCAGTGAGTTATCCTTTTTAAAAAAAACAACGAATTCAGCTAAAACGTATGTTTCTTTCTGGGTAGTTTTTTCATCAGCGGATCTACACTGATGTATGTAGTTATACATCAAAATTATACCAATCAGGTGGTTATGTCTCTGTCTCTGTCTGTTTTCGACATGGAACTTTGCACAAATGTGCGGAAGTTCAAGTCGCCACACTCCGTGTAGCACGCGAAGCAAGAGAAGAAAGTACAAGAAAAGCATAATGGAGACAGTGAGCAGAGGTGTGAGACAAAAGAAGAGTAATAACGAAGAACAAAACAGTTTCATTAGAGATCATAAGTCACAAGGAGTGGAAGCATCTACGCCACTGAGAACGATTTTGAGCCATGTCACCAATTGTTTCCAACCATAGATTTTTACCGTCCCGAGGACCCCAGCCTGGAAGTCTACACCTTCCTACATGGCTTAGACCAACTGTTGTGGATTTCATTGACTGGTGCCAAGTTTTTGTTTGACCGCCGCTAGCTTTTTTTCAGCCTGACCCTATACCCGCTAACATTGCTCGTCGAGGGAGGCGATGACTTGGCATACGTAACACATGTCCTAACCATCTCAGTCTTTGTAATTTCACGACTTCGTCGATTGATTTCCCCAGTTTACCTAGAACTCGACGCCTAACTTCAATGTTGCTCACCTTATTATGCCACTTTACACGGGAAATAGAGCGCAGGCACCTATGATCAAAGACAGCTAGTCTTTTCATGTCTTCCACTCTCAGTGGCCAGGTCTCACAACCATAAAGGAGGACAGAGCGGACTGATGAGCAGTACAACCGCCCTTTTGTCGATAGTCGGATATCACGTATACGCCAGAGTCGGCGTAAACTGGCAAATGCGAAGCTAGCCTTCTGTATCCGTGCGGAGATTTCGTCAGAGATCAACCCGTTGTCACTGGCTGATGGTACTTCCCAAATAAGTGAAGCGGTCAGCGTGCTCTACCACTTCACTTCCTATTTTTAAACTAGGCGTCGATGTAGTCCAGTCCTGTAACATCATCTTGCATTTGGCGGGAGCGAATCGCATGCCAAACATTCGTAGATTGCGGCTCAAGGTATTTAGAAGACTCTGCATTTTGTCAGCGTCTTCGCCTAGAAGGATTATATCGTCTGCATATTCCAAGTCAACGAGATTATTCCCTGGTAACAAGTCAATCCCTGAGTCGCTGAAGTCACTTAGGGTTAAGTCCATTAACACATCTATGATGAAGTTGAATAGAAAAGGGGATGATGGGCATCCTTGACGGACACCACTGATCGTCATCAGTTCAGATGACAGCTCGCCGTAAGCCCTCACCTGGCTGTATGAGTACGAGTAGAGTGCCTTAATCAGTGCAATATATTTTCTTGGAATTCCCTTTACAGCCAAGCATCTCCAGAGAACTTCTCTATCGACAGAGTCGAATGCTGCCTTTAGGTCAAGAAATATAATGACTGTTGGACGCCGGTAGGAATGCCTATGTTCTAGAATCTGTCGGAGGGTGAAGATATGATCAATACACCCTCTTCCTGGTCTAAAGCCTGCCTGGCTCTCTCGTGTTTGTGCTTCCCGGGCACCACTCAGTCTACGCATAATTATTGAGCCTAAGACTTTAGATACTATATTAGTCAAGCTAATCCCTTCTTGTATATGGCGATAATCAGTGACTTACACCAACCCGATGGGACTTCCTCTGATTCCCAGACTTTGCCTAGTACCTCAGTTAATCTACAAACTAGTATGTCACCCCATATTTAAACACCTCCGGAATAATTCCGTCGGGTCCTGCCGCTTTTCCTCCTGTCAAATTACTGATAGCTTTTGTGACCTCACGGACGGCGGACCAGTGTCTATATTCCATTCGGGTGTGTGCTGAATGTCGGGGAAGTTCAGTGTGGCTGTAGGTAAGTTAAATTGTCCCTCATAATGCTCTTTCCAGCGATCCAGTCGTCTATCCTGAGAGCTAATTATAGTGCCATTTTTCCCCGAGATTGTTTCACTAATGATTTGTCTTCTCCCACCCGTTTCCCTGATGAGTCTAAAGAGTTGCCTAGTGTTGCCTATCGCCCATGCTTTTTCCATCTCTTTCGTCTTTGTCACCCACCACTGTTCACGGTCCTTGCGGAGACTTTTCGTAAGTTTCCTTTTGTGCAGCTTTCGCTCCTCATTGAATTCGGAGCTCGCCGGAATAAGTCTTCTAGCATCTATCAGTTCGGATGAGGCGGTGGAGATCCAGTGGTTTTTACTCACCTTTGGGTTTACTTTATTCACAGCTTTTACAGCTGTATCTATGGCTAACTGGATATTCTTCCAGGCTTCTTCAGGGTGAGCACAGCTGTCGAACTCAGATATGTGTTTAGCTAGTTCTTCCTCAAATAGGGATTTAGTTTCCTGATCGAGCTGGGGACGTGATGGTTTTACCGCCAGCTGTTTCCTACGTCCGTTCAGTCGTAAGCACACACGAGCCCGGACCAGTGCGTGATCGGTATCTACACACGTGTTCCAGAAGGAGCGACAATCTCCTACCGACCCACGCCAACGATAGCTTATTGCTATGTGGTCTATTTGTGTCCAGCGTTGGTTTGATGATGGGGGTCTCCAGGTCAAACAGTGTCTCTCCTTGTGTTTGAAGTTAGTGCTTACAAGAAACAAATGATTATCTGAACAGAACTGTAGGAGACGGTCACCGTTGTCGGTTCGCTGGCACGGAACTCCATAGGTGCCACCGACATCCTTCTCAGATTGACACAATTTCCCTACTTGAGCATTAAAGTCACCAGCTAGAACGACGATATCTGAGCGTTTAGCCTTTTACAGCAAACTAGACAGCTTTTGGTAGAACTCATCCTTCGTTTCATCCGAACTGCAGTCAGTGGGGGCGTAGGCGGAGATTACGAAAAGGCATCGGCGAGTAGTGCAGTCCTTTCTCCTTCTTACTGATCCGTTCAGACGGACAGCACACATTCGGCTATCTACCGGGATCCAGTCAAGTAATGTCTTTTCTGCCCTAGTACTCAAAGCTATCCCTACGCCAGCTAATCCTCGTGAACTAGCTGTGGCATCTCCTGACACCCTCAAGGTGAATTTTGCAGATTCAACCTGTTGGCCAGGTGGGGTTAGGTGAATAACCACACTTGGGTCTTGTATGCGTGTTTCTGAAACACAGCATACATCAATGGCTCGGGATGCCAGGGTCTTGGCTAGTGATGCTTGTTGTCCTATTTGGCAAAGTGTCCTAACATTAAAAGCTCCTATATGAAATTGGTGGCGTGGCTTTAGGAGGCTGTCGGTGGTGGTTTTTTGGCTTCCATCGTTTTTAGTGGACGCAGAGTGGAGAGGAAGTGGAGAGCTATCAAGTCGAGGAGTTGCATCAGTGGAAGGAAGGCAAGATGATAGAGATGAAGATGAAGACAAAGATGAGTGAGTAATAGAGAGGTTTCGCGTGCGTTTCGGATTGTGAGGGCGATTGTTACTTCCCGGCTGCCCACACCGTGGAAGTTGGTTGCGTGACCGCAGAGCCCAGGGGACAACTGCTTGAGGCCGGTCACACGCGGCCTGCTTTTGTTTGTTCTTTTTTGTTTGGTGTGTCTCAGTAGCATACTTATCACTCCTGCCCTGTGACACGGCAGCAGGAAGCGCGGTCGTTGTTAATCCGGGCCACGGCCGATCCGGCATGAAATTTTGTATTTATCATGATGTTGGATTGGGTAGCTGCTTTTTGTTTAACCGCTATCCAAACAACCTGCCTGGCATGGTAGGACCTCAAGAGACATAAGTCTCAGCCAGTATAGCTTGAATAGGTCATTGCGGTGTTCAAGCCCGACCACCACGTCAAGGTAGCAGCTTTCGGTCGGGGGTGGTTATTTTAGTCAGTAAGACTCATCAGTTTTAAGGTATAGGGAGTAGTGAAAAAAACTGATTAAAAATGATCAAGACAGTTAATCAGCAGAAGTTAGCAACATGTTTTGGTGTTGATGGGTAACTACTTGAAAAGGAATTATATTTCCTCATCCAATTTGTTTTTTTCTGCAGAATGTGTAAATGGGATATTTTAAATTAGTGAACTATTTCACCGACTCTTATTCTAGCCATCTGTCGGCGTTTTGAAATTCATTCTAGTTCCCGTTAGGTGCGAATCGAAGTGAATACTGACTACAGTTGACGTAATCTCAAGAATTAGACAGCTTACTTATAAGCGCCTCATATGTCAGTGATATTTTGCAAACGTGTGTAATTCGAAGTCTCCTATCTCCAGCGATTATGTATCGATAGAAAACAGCAGTATTGTATACTTGTCCCACCTAGTTAAACAAGCTGTACTTCACTGTAGCATAGTGTTTAGGTAATTCAATTAAGTATTATAACATTGACATTATGTTATATTATATATATTTTTGTATTATTTTCAGGTGGTTCACCATACTTGGCTGCAAAGATCAATCAAGCGAAAGATATGTTGGAATCAAATAAGACCTAACTAACAATAGACTATTCTTAGAATTTTCTGTAATATATTTCAACGTCATTTATTTTAGAATTGGAAATACTTACGTTTTTATTTAGCAAAAACCTGGAGATATAGCAAAGAACTAAATATAAACTTAGTAACCTATTAGTTATATCACTTATCCAGGAAATATAGATTTGTTCAGTAGATTACTTGAGATCGTATTCATTTGTTAGTCTGGTTGTTATGGTGATCCGAGTTGACTTTGATGGTTAAAGAACTGACTTGTTACGAAAGAAGAGTCTCAAAGTGCTTTGCATTATGCGGATGACGCTCGAAAACTGCAGTCCCAAAATCATCAGCAAAAATCTTAGTGTGTTTAGTATGCAATTCACCAATGTAAAATGTGACATGATGCTGCAGAACTAGTATGCACTGTTTCTTAATTTAATGACAGAAAGCGTAATACTTATTTACTTATACTCGAGTGGAACCCGAAAGGGAAGCGGCGAGTTGGTCGTCAGTGCAAGGGTGACTTGGAGGAGGTCATGTGAAGAGGAGATGAAAGCATGTGGGCAGACTTGGAGCGGGGTGAAAAGGTTGGTAGAAAACTGAATGCAATCGAGACGCGCGATTGAAGCCCTATGTTCCTCTAGGAATTAAAGGATATAATAATTATTATTTAGAAAGTTGCGTCAGCTCTGATATACCGATTGCTGACGAAATCTTAGCACAGGCAAAAAAGGCTCTTTCAGCGTTTTGTCAGTTTGCACCAACTTTAGCTCACTTGTAATATTTATCTATTGATCAAAGGACGTGCTCACTGAGCTCCGTCATTCTTCAGGGTTGTCAGACACAGACTTTAGCAGCTTAAGATATCTAGAGGCTACACTTGTTTTACGATCGGTGTCCGCGTCTTATCTCGTGTTAGATGTTATTATATAATATTCAGTAATGATGAGCTCTGACGTAGAGCGTTAGGCGAAGAGGGAAAGTCAGCCGAAGATATAGTGGGGTTACATCTTTAAGATGCCTAGGACTTTGGAGACCTAGAACCGATTCATGAAGTTTTTGACTGTCTTGAGCCACATAGGGTGGTGTAGACTGTTATCCTCAGGATGCTAAGAATCAGTGGTTGGAAACTGCTAGTGATATATGGCTTAAACTCATTCCCAGTGGTGCAAATGCACCAACTCATTCTGATGTCTTAGATTCTCCAAATCATCATTACTCTTTCTGCCACACATTTACGTCAGTTTTATTTTTCGGTAGTACAGTGACTTGAAATGCTGCTTTTCTGCGCGAAGTTCCACATAGTTCAGAACAAACTTTGTCATCATCCTTTTGTATGTAGAGGAATTTTTACGAAAAGTAAAACGGACTTATGATCTAATCTTAGGGTTGAATAGCGTGAAACTGAATTCCAGTTAGAGACCACTTGGACTGCTCGATACAGTCCCTATCTGTTTATTCTTCAAAATTATCTAATGCATATCACAGTTGCCATTCCCTAATTTTGGCGAAGTTTTTGTAAGGGAGAACGTAAATTGTTTGGTGTGTCTCCTCATTTTCGTCACCCGCCAGCCAATACTTTCGGTTTCGAGTACAAAGGTGTTCATTACTCCCTCTAGGGAAATTGGTGTCACAGGGATAAAACTGTTGTGCTCATACATAGCAGATGTTTTTTTCAAGGATCGTCATGTATCCAGTTCTTAGAAATATATCCTTTGTACAGTCTCCTCGAGACGAAAATTCTGAAGAAAAAACTGAATTGTATTTCAGATGAAACATTTTTTAGCTTCATCTTGGGTGTGATAAAATCTGGGATAGTTATCTAGTCTATCTATTTAACCACTTTGGTGAAATCAAGAGTAGAGGTATTTGCTCACAGATCGTGAATGTTACAGATTACACCAACTTTCCTACTTCGGTTAGCTCTCAACAAGAATTTTTTGAAACTAGTATATGCATTGCAATGTGCAGATCCGACCACTGCATTCAAGTAGCCACTAGTAGTTAGAGTAACGATTTCTACATAAGATGGACGAATTGTTTTGCTGTGGACTTATTTTTCCTTATGTATTAGGCCTAACTGTAAGGGGATAAAATGGGGATGACAGAAATGTCGCATTTAAGTACCCTTATTGCTTCAGATAGCATTTTCTTAAACACTGAAGTGATAAACAAAACTTGTTCAAAATTCGATTTATTTGATTATCATAGACATCTATGATATAGCAATCTGAAAAAATAAATAAGGCTGGTACAGTATTACTATACAATAAAAGCTAGTAATATATATGCTTTCCGTACAATATAGTTTAAGTTAATGTATACATACATTAATTGTATAGTATTTGAGGTAGGTCATGTTAAGATTTGTAAACCTATTTCTCATTACATTTCATCAAATCTCATCCAGATCATCAATTCCAAGTTCAGGAAAGTCACCAGCTTCAACATATTGTGGCTTAACAAATGCACCATACTTATCTGGACATTGAAAATATCGTACTCCTTCAATACTAAAATCATGTAGTAAGGAGATGTTAAAGAAGGCAGATGTATAAATGAAAATGCAGAAAAAGTAGATTTGAACAAAGTAGATTTAAAAGATGACATTTTAAAGGAAGAATTAACCCCACTGCGCCTACGAACAACAATTCGACTAATAGACAGAAGACCAGTAGTTCAACGAAGAGTCTCTTTTTGGCGAATTCATTTTCATAGCTGTACAATCGCATATATATATATATATATATATATATATATATATATATATATATGGTTGTTTTGTATGTGTGTGTACATTAAATTTGTCAAACGAAAATACAATTAGTAAGAGACTCTTCGCTGAACTACTGGTCTTCTGTCTGTTAATGTTCGAATGGGAGTTTTTCATGAATTCGACTAATGTTCACATAAACACAAAATTGAAACATTTATCACGTAGCTGTTGCGATTCTCTGAATTAACAAGCATTAAAATTAATGATTTACCAGGTTATGTAATGAAAGCACCGAAACGAATAAATAATTTCGGTGCATTTATTTTCGAGTTTGACCGTTGGGGCTTTTAACATACTATTTGTATAACAATTTAGAAGACAAACTACCACACAATTGAAACTCATTGCGTGGTAACATGCACAATTAGGCTATCGGTACATACTGTTCGATAGATTATCGATTTGTATGGTGCTTACTATCCATTGTATGCGTGACTTTTTGAAACTACTTGCAAAACAAAACTGCCTAATTATTACAGCGGTGGATTAAAATTTAAGGAGAATACCAAACAATTGTTTTCGGAAAACCCCTGTTGGTTTTTTATTTTGTATTTCCCATTCACTGAATCATATTAGACCGAAATTCGTCCTCTTCATTTGTCGGTTCCTAGTACAGACGTTTCGACAGTGTTTGAAGATTAATATGATGTTATTTGACAGTGGCATCCAGGATGCGCACTCCATCCGTTGTACAAGAAATGGCTTTTGTGACCCAATAGATAAAGCTTTTCCATTTGAAGCTACAGGTGCTGGACTTTGAGTCTCCGTAGGCACACTACCACTCTCACCGGGAGTGCAGGTATATCCCAAACAAGATGAAATAAACACTTTGGACTCCGCTGCTAGTCAATATCAATCAAATAAAAGTGTATAGATGAAACATGATACTTTTGAAAGTTGTACAGGTTACTATCACAGAACATTCTGTATATTATTTAGCTAATGTAAAACATAGAGGTCATTACTATGAAGTATGGTCATCAATTAGGGGTGCATTTTATTTTTATCATATCAGAACGTATTAAAATCGGTACTACACTATTATTAGGACAATCAAAACTATGCATTGCAGATTGTAATATGATGACAAAGACTAACCTTCCATCATTTCGTCCCAAAGGTTCATCGTAACGAATTCCAACCCAATAACCAGGCTTAAATTTAGTTTGTCCTGAAGAAAAGAATAACAGTGGTAAAAAAATATACGATTATTTAAATGGCACTCAAATATTTATTACACTAATGAGTTTCAAAACGATACATAAGTCTAACAATTACTTGACTTCCTAATGTTACAATACAGATCGACTGTATTCATACCAAGTTCATTTTCTTTGTTAGTAATCATGGGATAGACAAATCATAATAATAGAAGTCAACAATTAAATCACTGCAGCTAAAATAAATGGAAATCAAACCAAACAAACGGAAATGGTATATAACAGCGGGTTTGGATTCACTGAAATAGCCTCGAATGATAGCTAACACTATTACGTGGCCATCGGGCTACTACCATAGTTTGAATTGTTTACATTATCAGCTGTCTGGAAACCAACTACACTGCCTTCGGGATGAAGGACTTTCAACATAGAACTTGACACAAGAGTGTAGCAGTTCAAGTTGTTGTCTGGGGTATTCCTGTCCCAACTTTTATTTAATTTCATCATAGACGTACTACCTGAATGAACTCTAGCGAATTAGGGTTTACCTTGTTACTAGGAAATAGTCTTGTTGACTTCTAGGTAAAGACGCCTTGGGCAGAAATCTTAGTATGTTTGGCATGCGATTCGCTCATGATGTAGGAATAGCATTGAGTGCTAGAGCAAAAAACTCGATATTCATTCACATTTCTTTCCTCTACCTTTATGCGTGATTTTATTAAGTGTAGCGACCTGAACTGATGCAATTCTATGCGAAGTTTTACCTTGATAATTCAGTCCAATCACTGAAATGATTGGGCGAGGGGCAGTATAATTGTTTAACTACAAACAATTAAACATAACAAGATTCGGATAATTAATTGAAACATTTCCAAATTAAGCTGCCCCTGATTACTCTACTTCATAAGTGGTGCACCAATGAGCATGGAGATTTTGGTTACCTAAGTACGAACAAATAACCACTGCTACTGTATAATGCACTTGAAAAATATGGTTATTTTTAATTCTTAAACAAATGCATTCCCAAAATGTTCTTATAAATGATTATGAGTATTTAATACACTTGTAACAAACCGACTAGAAAACCTAACGCTAAGGATTTGAATAAAAAGATCGGATTGCTGCATATGGAAATACTTACCGACAAATTCTATAACACCCCGTTTTGTTATTTGACTTGGAATACGAACTTCACACCTGGAGGAGAGATATGCGTGAAGAATTAATTCCTTTTATTACATACGTGAAAGAACATACCGGAAATAAATTCAGCGACATCCAGTTTTACGGATAATGATTACTCCTGTAAATTGTGATTGAAACACACCGAAATAATAAAAGATGAGCTCGTATTATCCTGGTACAATTGCTGTTCTTGCTTTGTTCAAGTTAATTAATGGGAAGAATTGCATGAAGTTTTTAATATGGAGTTTCTTTAGTTACGTCTTAATGATTGTTTTGTATAGACGTGCATTGGAAAAATGCTACGAATGTCATCCCAGAGACTTACGTACTAGTCTCTCTTCGCTAGGCCTGGCACAGGATGAAAAAAGTGGAGGGATGGTCAGCCTATGACGTGGCGTCTTGGGATGAAGGATATTTTGTATTAGGTTAGCATCGGTTGGTACATCAAGATTCCCTGGTTGAGGTTTGAGAGATAGTTCAGATATGCGCCTCGAGACGTTATCAGATATGGCCAAGAATCTCAATCAATCGTTAACATGCTGCGATTTTCTTCTTTCTGACAGTAATATGACGAATGTTGTTTGGTTTCGTTAAATATAGTTGCTTTTTTTATCGATGAAGTCCTTTATCCATTCTTTGCCTATTTTCTTCATATAGAGTTTTATTATTGTGCCTAGATTGTACCAGGTTCTATGTTTTATATATATATATATATATATATATATATATATATATATATATATATATATATATATATATATATATATATATATATGCTAAGACAAACATAAATGCAGAGTTAAAATTAGTTATAACATCTGACCGTCCGTCTAGTGAAGGTGTGCCTGACACAGATATAGCATTTCTGTTGTCTGATGTCTAGTTATTTACACGTAGAAAAGCTTAAAAACTGGCACGCCTTAATATGTCGTTTACTAATGCATATTCAGACTTGTTAAGAGGCGAATAAGATCCACGCTACAGACAGTACTTGTTGCTGTTTTACTATCAAAACGGAGAAAAATAAACTGTATATGAAAGCTGAGTATTTCAGGAAAATCATCTTCAAGACGAGGGCTAACTGCTGCCCCTAGAAATCTGAACTAGCCTGAAGTTTAAGTCGAGTATGAGTGCTTCAGAAGATATATTCAACTACGTGAAATTAAATGAATCAGTAATATTTCAATATCATTGCATAGAAAGTACGAGCACACAATTACACGACAACTCTTCAAGCCTAGCGAAAGGAGATGTAAGAAAGAGGGAAACGGAAATCATCGACGAAATATTCCTGAGTATTTTACCTACATATTTTTAACTCCTCAATTCAACCTTTTCAGTAATGCAATATACACTACAGGGATATTTGCTTCAGTTTCAATCCTCTATAAACCGGATGAAACATATGCGTTTTCGACTGATGTTCTTAATTTACGTCATAAATAATATCCAAATATACTGGTTTCGATATTGTGAAGAAGCGTACACTCATTTAAATTGCTGAAAAGAACACAATGAAAACAGCTAGAATTCTCCACTTACCGCGAACCAATAGACAAGGACTCCGCCTTTTCTTTTTCCTTTAATTCTGCCTCTTGACGCAGTTCTTCTGCACGCTTAGCTTCCTCAGGATCAACTTCTCGAAACTGTCCAAGTTTGTTACGTCTCTTCCAAGCCAATACTGATTCTGTGAAACCGCAAGTAGGAAATAAGTGAGGACTACATTAACCGTACTGCAGAACTCGGCTTTTCAAATAAATAGGAAATTCCAGTATTTTTGATAACTACAAACCAGTTTGAACATGTATTAAATAAATCTAAATTTAAGTAAGTCGCTATTTTAACGGTTTGCTAAGGTAACTATAAGCTTTACCATTCACGCTGGGAATGTCGACTTTTTAGCAGATACAAGTAAAAATAATAGGGGGACTAAATTAACTGATTAATGTAATTAGTTTGAAATCGTGATTCTGCGGATAAACATCAACGTAGGACTTAACACTACTTTATAGCCATCTAAGTTGCTAAACGTTGGAAATAAAGCTTTGAGGAGCAATGTAATTGGCCTACAGTCACACTCAACTTACCCAGCATCCAACACCGTCTCTCCGTCCCTAACTGAGGTTACAAGAGCTGTCTCTAATCTGAAGCGAGGCAAAGCAACAAATCTTGATGGGATGATGACTCCAGAGGTGTTCAAGGACGACGGAGACTGTTTGTTGTCTGCATTAACTAGGCAGCGTCTGAGAATCAGAGGAAGTCTCGTCGGGTTGGTGTAAGTCACTGATTATCCCCACATACAAGAAGGGAGACAAGTCTTCCTGTGATAATCACAGGGGGATTAGCTTGACTAATATGGTATCTAAAGTCCTAGGCTCAATAATAATGCGTAGTCTAAGTGGTGAGCAATACTGAGGTTAGGCGTCGAGTGCTAGGTGGGTGGGAGGGGAAATCAATCGACGAGGCTGTGAAGTTACATCGGCTAAGTGAGATGGTTAGGACATGTGTTACGCATGTCTAGCCTAGCCATCGCCTTCTTCAGCAGGAAATGTTAGCTGACATAGGATTAAGCCGGATAAGAGCTAGTGGTGGTTAAACCGAAACATAATATAATAATTTTTCCTTCACGTTCCCCAGTGGAACATAGGGCTTCAAGCTAGTGGCTTGAAGTTTCTGCAGTAGTGTTTATTTTACAGGATGCGGTTGCTAGCCTCATGCCCAAACCAAAACATGGCACCAGTCAATGAAATACACAACAGATGGTTTAAGCCAGCCGCGTAGAGAGATGTAAATTGGCTTCCTGGTTGGAGTCGTCGGGATGGTAAGAACTATTGGCTGGAGACAACTGGTGATGTGGTTCAAAATCGTTCTCAATGGCACAGACGCATCCACTCCTTGTGACTTATAATATCCAATAAGACTCTATTGTTCTTCCATATTATTCTTCTTTTTGCTTCATATTTCTGTCCGTTATCTATCTTCTCTTGCTTTGTGTGCTACATGGAGTCTGGCGACTTGAACTGTCGCACATATGTGCAAAGTTCTGTGTCGAAAACAGACAGACAGACAGACTTTATGCCGAAGCGGATTACCCATGACTTCCATAGAGGTTATTCAACACTAAGTAGCTGGATGGAAAAACTGCTGAAACTGAATGGGTTTTATCGGCTAAAAGAGTAATCTTAATCCTCTTAACTCAAAGCCCTCAAAAATTATGGTAGCATCCTGAGAAGTAGTTGAATAGATTACAACTAGACCATAGTTTTGAATTACAGTTGAACCTTTTCAAAGTACGTAGAACTAGTGACCGTTATTCAGTCTGAATCTAAGGTGAACTAGGTAGTGTTTAAACGTAAACAAACAGAAGTGTAAGATACTGTAAAAAAATATGCCTATCATTACATAACTACTTAGTTCCTATTTCACCGGTGCGACTGAGAAACCATTAGGAAATTAAATGAGTATTTATATGAAACGTTGACAACGAAATGACGGTGAACATACCTTCGCGTTTTGCATACTCTTCATCTGTCAACTGATACGTCTCAACAGGCTCTTCTGGCTGGTCATATACTCCATCTGCAATAGTTGAATCTGTTACATGGATGTGCATTTCATTTTCAACACCAAGATCATAAAGTGATTTTCCATCACCAAGTAAGTAACCTAAGGACTTTTCTTGTTTATCAAATAACTCGATTTTCATTGTACGGTTATCACAGCCAGTAACTAAAACTAACTTTTCCTAGAAATCAGTTAGTAAGTGGACTAAAAATCACATACTTTGAGTTGACCTAGAGTTATGTCGATTGGATATCGCTTTTCAGATCGTAGCTTAGACGCATTTGTGGTGATTGAAAGTGTGATGAAATTACAAGTCGCCATCTCCACGTTGCTGATGTTGTTAATGCCGTTTACCAATTAAGTGAATAGAATTAACAAATGATATTGAAAACAGCTGGTTAACAACCAAATCTTCAAAATACCTGAAACGGAAAATGATTATGATTGGAACGTTTGCGTATTATTTGAATAAAATTACGCTTAACACTGGACTTAGTAACCTCGTCGGCTTTTCAAGTCCTACACCTTTGACATACAGTTTATATTTCCACTTGGTAATGTGGATGATATGGTCTTTCAATCCTGAACCCTACAGTCGGAAATCAAGATCTGAAGTCAATGAACAATAATAATTGACAGTATAGTATTTTTAATATATTTATGCGTTGAAGTTTCTGTAGGATGTTGGTTAAGTTTTGGGGGTGGAGTTGCTGGCACCACGCCCCAACCCTCCCTCTTTATCCGGGCTTGGGACCGGGCTATAAAACTACCGAGCTAGTAATCTAGGCGAGGTTAATATGGATGCATATATTGACGATAATGAAATTCTTTTTGAGATTGTTTACCGGTCAGATGCAATCAAAACTTGTGAATGAGAATAAAACTTGTGCACTTTGGTAGAGTATAATTCTATTGTGGATGAAACCTATTTTGACAAGGTTTCACATCTGACGTTTTTAGCACAATTTATTGGTCATAATCATATCAAGATACTCACACAACTTTCTAAATTCTCTCATGCGCTCACTCGAGTACTCTGAATGCCACATTTCTCCAGTTTTATCGTATTCAGGACATATTTTTAAGTTATATTTAAAAAAAAATGCAGCACCACTTGCTGTTTCTATAGTGCAAAATTGACTCAAGACTCATGAGTTTTATTGTTTTGTTTAAGCTCAGTTAACCGAAACAGATTTTTCACATCATAGGCCTAAAGCCAAATTTACCGTGTAGTGGGTGGTGATACTACCCAGTTGCCCAGACTGAAGTAAGTGTGACGGTGCCGGAATTCGTGACGCATCGGCTGAAAATAAAGTGCTTAAACCAATGAATCACATCATGAGTTTTATTCGAACATGCATAAATTTCTTGTGTTACATATTTTGTAGGACTGGTAATTGTCCTCAATTGATTGTGATGCTGAATCCTAAAGAGAAACTGGTGTTATTTCTCAGTAACAATGACGGTTATTGATAGTTTTCTAAAAATCTAACCAATTAATTTCTACTAAGAGAATGAACACTGAAGTTTCTTTTGTCATCAGAAGTTATTGTTATAAGCAGTAAGAGGCCAGGGCCTTTATTTTCGTTAAGCGGTAAATTAAATTCTAAACATTTTCTATTCCTATTATTTTGAATTTCACTGTGTATACTAATGACAGTATTACTTTTTAAATGATGAAAGATGTGGTATCAATAGATGGGTTATTCCAGTTCTCTTAATCATCACTCAGTTTTAACTTCAACTCCAGTAAAGCTTACCGGTAATTCTGTTACACGAATAATATATATATATATATGCCTATTATCATGCATCAATATTTTAAAGTGTGACCTAGTAAACATTTGTTAATAAAAATCTTGGTTTCTATATCATAATGACTTGACATTATAAAAAGCACTTATGTTGCCAATAACAATTATCCTGTAGCTAATATGGGTATATAGCTGTAGGATCTGAAGAAGCTCTGTATTCTACATCCCGAATTACCCAACGGTGGTCCGTAACCGGTGGTAAATTTACTGATACGGAACCAATCGTAGAAACTAGTTCATACAGGCCGACCGAAAGCTGCTACCTTGACGTGGTGGTCGGGCTTGAACACCGCAATGACCTATTCAAGCTATACTGGCTGAGACTTATGTCTCTTGAGGTCCTACCATGCCAGACAGGTTGTTTGGATAGCGGATAAACAAAAAGCAGCTACCCAATCCAACATCATGATAAATACAAAATTTCATGCCGGATCGGCCGTGGCCCGGATTAACAACGACCGCGCTTCCTGCTGCCGTGTCACAGGGCAGGAGTGATAAGTATGCTACTGAGACACACCAAACAAAAAAGAACAAACAAAAGCAGGCCACGTGTGACCGGCCTCAAGCAGTTGTCCCCTGGGCTCTGCGGTCACGCAACCAACTTCCACGGTGTGGGCAGCCGGGAAGTAACAAACGCCCTCACAATCCGAAACGCACGCGAAACCTCTCTATTACTCACTTATCTTTGTCTTCATCATCATCTCTATCATCTTGCCTTCCTTCCACTGATGCAACTCCTCGACTTGATAGCTCTCCACTTCCTCTCCACTCTGCATCCACCAAAAACGATGGAAGCCAAAAAACCACCACCGACAGCCTCCTAAAGCCACGCCACCAATTTCATATAGGAGCTTTTAATGTTAGGACACTTTGCCAAATAGGACAACAAGCATCACTAGCCAAGACCCTGGCATCCCGAGCCATTGATGTATGCTGTGTTTCAGAAACACGCATACAAGACCCAAGTGTGGTTATTCACCTAACCCCACCTGGCCAACAGGTTGAATCTGCAAAATTCACCTTGAGGGTGTCAGGAGATGCCACAGCCAGTTCACGAGGATTAGCCGGCGTAGGGATAGCTTTGAGTACTAGGGCAGAAAAGACATTACTTGACTGGATCCCGGTAGATAGCCGAATGTGTGCTGTCCGTCTGGACGGATCAGTAAGAAGGAGAAAGGACTGCACTACTCGCCGATGCCTTTTCGTAATCTCCGCCTACGCCACCACTGACTGGAGTTCGGATGAAACGAACGATGGGTTCTACCAAAAGCTGTCTGGTTTGCTGCAAAAGGCCGAACGCTCAGATATAGTCGTTCTAGCTGGTGACTTTAATGCTCAAGTAGGGAAATTATGTCAATCTGAGAAGGATGTCGGTGGCACCTATGGAGTTCCGTGCCAGCGAACTGACAACGGTGACCGTCTCCTACAGTTCTGTTCAGATAATCATTTGTTTCTTGTAAGCACTAACTTCAAACACAAGGAGAGACACTGTTTGACCTGGCAACCCCCATTATCAAACCGACGCTGGACACAAATAGACCACATAGCAATAAGCTATCGTTGGCGTGAGTCGGTAGGAGATTGTCGCTCCTTCTGAAACACGTGTGTAGATAGCGATCACGCACTGGTCCGGGCTCGTGTGTGCTTACGACTGAACGGACGTAGGAAACAGCTGGCGGTAAACCCATCACGTCCCCAGCTCGATCAGGAAATTAAATCCCTATTTGAGGAAGAACTAGCTAAACACATATCTGTATCCGACAGCTGTGCTCACCCTGAAGAAGCTTGGAAGAATATCCAGTCAGCCATAGATACAGCTGTAAAAGCTGTGAATAAGGTAAATCCAAAGGTGGATAAGAACCACTGGATCTCCACCGCCTCATCCGAACTGATAGATGCTAGAAGACTTATTTCGGAGAGCTCCGAATTCAATAAGGAGCGAAAGCTGCACTAAAGGAAACTTACGAAAAGTCTCCGCAAGGACCGTGAACAGTGGTGGGTGACAAAGACGAAAGAGATGGAGAAAGCTTCGAGAATAGGCAACACCAGGCAACTATTTAGACTCATCAGGGAAACGGGTGGGAGAAGACAAATCATTAGTGAAACAATCTCGGGAAAAAATGGCACTATAATTAACTCCCAGGTTAGACGACTGGATCGCTGGAAAGAGCATTATGAGGAACAGTTTAATTTGCCCACAGCCACGCTCAACCTTCCGAACATCCAACACCTTCCCGAATGGGATATAGACACTGGTCCGCCGTCCGTGAGGTCACAAAAGCTATCAGTAATTTGAGAGGAGGAAAAGCGGCAGGACCCGACGGAATTATTCCGGAGGTGTTTAAATATGGGGTGACATACTAGTTTGTAGATTAACTGAGGTACTAGGCAAAGTCTGGGAATCAGAGACAGTTTCATCAGACTGGGGTAAGTCACTTATTATACCGATATTCAAGAAGGGAAACAAGTCCTCGTGTGGTAATCATAGGGGGATCAGCCTAACGAACATAGTATCTAAGATCCTAGGCTCAGTAATCATGCACAGACTAAGCAGAAGTCGGGAGGAACAGACGAGGGAAAATCAAGCAGGCTTTATACCAGGTACAGGGTGCATAGATCATATCTTCACCCTCCGACAGATTCTGTCTGTCTGTCTGTTTTCGACATAGAACTTTGCACAAATGTGCGGAAGTTCAAGTCGCCACATTCCGTGTAGCACGCGAAGCAAGAGAAGAAAGTACAAGAAAAGCATAATAGACACAGTGAGCAGAGGTGTGAGACAAAGGAGTAATAAAGAAATACAAAACAGTTTCATTAGAGATCATAAGTCACAAGGAGTGGAAGCATCTGCGCCACTGAGAACGATTTTGAGCCATGTCACCAATTGTTTCCAACCATAGATTTTTACCGTCCCGAGGACCCCAGCCTGGAAGTCTACACCTTCCTACATGGCTTAGACCAACTGTTGTGGATTTCATTGACTGATGCCAAGTTTTCGTTTGACCGCCGCTAGCTTTTTTCCAGTCTGACCCTATATCCGCTAACATTGCTCGTCGAGGGAGGCGATGGCTTGGCTTACGTAACACATGTCCTAACCATCTCAGTCTTTGTAATTTCACGACTTCGTCGATTGATTTCCCCTGTTTACCTAGAACTCTACGCCTAACCTCCATGTTGCTCACCTTAGTATGCCACTTTACACGGGAAATAGAACGCAGGCACCTATGATCAAAGACAGCTAGTCTTTTCATGTCTTCCACTCTGAGTGGCCAGGTCTCACAACCATAAAGGAGGACGGAGCGGACTGATGAGCAGTACACCCGCCCTTTGGTCGATAGTCGAACATCTCGTCTACGCCAGATTCTAGAACACAGACACACTTTTCGGCGTCCAAGAATTGTCATATTTCTTGACTTGAAGGAGGCCTTTGACTCCGCGGATCGAAAGGTACTATGGCAATGTCTGATTGTGAAGGGAGTGCCAAGGAAGTACACTGCACTAATCAAG